GGTTTTGCACGTACCCCTACATAAGATACCGTAAGATACCGTAAGATAGATTTCTGCCACTTGAGAAGGTTTTGTCACTATGTGTGCGGTTCATGTAGCAGTGTCTCAAGCTCGAAGGAGGCTTGTGAATCAAGTGTGCCACATTAGTGTTCTCGCCATGCCTGAGAGAAGGCTCATCAAAGTTCAGGACCATTTGTTGTGCATGTATGGAAACCCTGGCTCCTGCTTTGGGAGATGAACATGTTTGGGAGGAGGAACCTATGTTCAGCCCCTGTGGTTTGGACCACAAACGAGCTTTATTTGAGGCATTCCAGGGGGCTAGTGCTGAGGCTGGTGACATAGCACACTTCCCTAGCTATTGTTCACTGCTCACTGTTTTTTTGTGGTTTGAGTTGAAATGTTTGGTGGCCCTGCAGGGGGGGCATGCTGATAATAATATGATGATGATGGAGGACTGTATGACATGGTTGTTTTTTGGGTGCTGCAGGGTGTCCATATGTCCATCCGATATCGTGCCCAGGCCACCGATTCCCAAGCGACGACCATTGATGCTGACAGCCAGGCCTGCATCTGCGACCGTGGTTTCTGCCATAGCACCCCTCAGTTGCGGGCAGGTGTCGCCAGTGATGTGGCCACAATGTCTTGATGTATCCCCTCACATGGATGCCACCATGACTCTCAGGGAGTCACTTGGTGTGTTACACATGTTGCTATATTATATGTGCACATGTGTACGACGATGTAGACACGCAAACACTCTTATGGATTGATTTAGGTCGGTGTCTATGGCGACCTTATCTGACTCGACGTCCCCGGCAGATTCCCCAGCACCCGTCCCTAGACCAGCTGCACCACTCAAGAAAGCAAAAACCATGGTCGCATGTGCAGTCAAAAGCCCTCTGGTGGGACCCGATGGCAGACCACCGCCAACTCCACAGCAAGTAGTGCCGAAAAAGGCATTTTCACCTCCTCCCAAACAACCTTTGACACACATCAAAGGTGAACCTACTGATGCACGATGGCCTACTTCTGAGGCATCACCACCGAAAGCCTTGGCTTCATTGCCATCGCCAGCCATGGTGAAATCACCACCACCAAAAGCATTGGTGATCACACCACCACAGGGGTCCATGGTGAACTCGCCGCCGCCAAAAGCATTGACCGCCGCACCGCCAACGCCAGCCATGGTGAACATGTCACCACCAAAAGCATTGGCGAACACCTCACAGCCAGCCATGGTGAACCCGTCACCACCAAAAGCATCAGCGAACACCTCACAGCCAGCCATGGTGAACCCGTCACCACCAAAAGCCATGGTGAACATCTCACCACCGCAACCAGCCATGGTGAACTCGCTGCCACCAAACGCATTGGTGAACACCGCACCGCCAGAGCCAGCCACGGTGAACATGTCACCGCCAAAAGCCATGGTGAACATCTCACCAACACAGGTGAACTCGCCACCGCCGAAAGCCCTGGGGAACACTTCACCACCAAAGACAGCCGCCATGGTGAGCGCTGTGCCACCAAAGTCATCAGCAAACACATCAAAGCCAGCTGGTGTGAACACACCACCGCCAAAGCCGGTAATGGCAACCCGAGAGTTCACGCCAAGCCCGCCTGCCAAGCCCAAGGCTCCACTGTATGGCATGGACACACAATACAGCAGCAAAACAGAACTTACTGCTGTAAAACCCAGCAAGAGCCTTTCACACGCAGCCAGCCTTTTGAGAGCAAACACAGCAAAACCATCTAGCAAGGTGGAGCCATCCACATCAAGCATTCCCCTGGCTTCAGCACTTCCAGCAGAAGCGGCCGCAGTGCCCGTGCCATTGCATCCAAGCCCCACTCTGTCCAACACAGTGGGTGAGACACCCGAAGCTTGCAGCTCAGAGCAGCCAGTGCCGGACCCACCTGTGCATGCAGCTTCTGTGGAACAATCCAGCCCGGCACCAACACCAGCACCAACAGGAATCGAGGCTGATGCTGAGCGAGTTACTGATGCGTGTCCAGGATTGGATGATCCAATTGGGAGGGAAAACTGGCATCGTGACAGGGTGTTCAAACTTGACGATCGCGGCATGCAGAGAGCCATTGCAGAAGCACAACAACATGCCATGTTCCCAGCATACAGGCAACACGTGATGCGAGAGATCTTTGGTCAAGACACCATGGATGGTGTTCCTGAGTTTGCGGAGGACGAGCCAGAGGAAGATTTGTTGTGCTTTCGTATGTGGCTCGATGAGAACCTTAACCCTCCAGGAGGTGTGGCTGCCATGTCTGATGGCAGCATGGTCGGAGGTCCAAGCCCAGCGACGATCATTACTGCAGCTCATGTCGATGTTCCAGCAATTGGCAACTCAATGGTCGCTACACCAGCTTTGGCTACGACATTGGTCCATATGCCACTGGTACCAACAGAGACACATCCACTGCCAGCACCTGCAGCGCCGGCTACACCTGAACAGCCAACACCAGCAGCGACTGCACCCACAGCTGAACTGCCAACCCCAGCAGTGACCGCACCCTTGGCTGAACAGCCAACACCAGCAGTGAAAGCACCACCGGCTAAACCGGCAGCAGCTGTCACTCCAGCACCGCCAGCCCCACCAATGGCTGCACCCCTGGCTGAACACCCAACACCGGCAGTGACTGCACCAGTTGAACCGCCAACCCTGGCCCTAGCTGTGATTGCGCCCCCGGCTGAATTACCACCCCTAGCAGTGACCGCACCGCCAGCTGAACCACCAGCGCCAGCAGCAGCAGCCATTCCAGTTACTGTACCCAAGTTCCTCAACAAGCGACAAAAGGTTGCATTTACACCCGTGGAGCCAACCTCAGAGGGCAGCTTGCCAGCAAGCACACCATTGCCTGCAAACACACAGCCACCAGTGACCGTGCCAGCATCCGCAGAACACACATCTGGAGCAGAATCCAAGCCTGCACCCGCAGCCAGCTGGAGGAGCAACATCCACGTCTCGGTTCCGGCTACTTGCCTATTCTATAATTAATGCATGGTGATGTTTTCTTTGGGCTAGCACTGTGGTCATGATACGATGTTGTGAGGCTGGCATGGAGGTCACCTTTGACACTTACAAAGAACGCCAAGCACATTACGCACAAATGCGCAGGCTCATTGTACGGTGTTTTTTTTGCTTGCGTATGATTGTTTGTCCTAGACACTGCACACATTGAAGTATGTGTGTGTGGTGCAGGCAGTTGGACAATCCAGAAAACCATGACATCCCAGCGGAAATCCTCAATGCCTGGAAGCAAGCTGTTGTGTCGAAATCGCGTGCGTCCAAGCAAGCTGTTTTCATGGCATTCTTAAAGGCTGGAAAGGATTGGTCACGGTTTCTTGGATGGATAACATGTGTATTTAAGATGCACATAGATACACACCATGGCATGCACAAGTATCGAACATTCATAGACTTTAATTCGTTGAGGCTCTCAATCCGGCATACCAAAGCGCGCACTGATCGAGTGATCGGTTCACGGAGAAAAGGCCTGGACCTCATGCGTGACTGCCTCACACCATGACACCAAACAAAGAAAACGTGGCGCCTAACCTCTGCCTAGGATGGAAGACACGTGCGCAGCTTTTGGTGCTGCATGGTGGTGATGAAGAGTTGGTAAATCGGATAGTGGAGCGCAAAACCGCCAGCGGTGAAACCAAAGAGCATCCTGACCTTCCTGATGATCCATCAGCGACCTTATATCACGTTATGCTAGATTTGGACCAGGTTGAGCAGGATGAGTTTGAGGATCGCTTGGAAGAGTCCTATGGAACGGATGTTGTGGGTGACCAGGCATGACCCTTTCAAGGTTCAACCAGCAATTGGTCACAACTCATTGTGTGTGTATATGTAAAACAGCAAATGATCATGTAATATGTGATCAAGACTTCTTGTGTGCATAGGCTGGGCAAATGGCTGACGCTGCACGGTATAGCAGCATGGCCAATGTCACTATGGGTGCTGCTCGGGGGGTGGCGCTCAAGGCAGAGCCACCATCATTTAGTTCTGGTGCTACTGGCCATGTGGGGGGTGCTACTGGCCATGTGCCAGGTGCTACTGGCCATGTGCCAGGTGCTACTGGCCATGTGCCAGCTCTGCCTGGGTTAGCGTTGGCAGGTGGGAAGGTGACGCCGCCTGTACCCTCACCAGATGAGAGCCTTTGTCTGTACCCCCACCACCACCTGCTGGGGGGCAGAATCGTCGAACACCGCCAGCGAAACCCGACAAGCCCCCTCAAGACAAGCCCCGACGAAAGAAGACCCTTGGTGAATGTATGTTGTTTTTTGTTTATACATAGAGCTCCCAAATCTCATGACCTATCACACGCCAAGGAATGAAATGCCGGAGGACCCTGTGGCACGGGGACAATGGGCTATGGAGAAATTGATGACCGACCTTCAACAGGCCAAGATGTGGCCAGTGAAGCTGGCCCATCTGAAACACCAGGATGCCTTGAGTAACATGGCATGTTGTTCTAACTATGGATGTGTTTCAGCTAAGTTAACGATTTGCTTTCTGTGTGCCAAGGCAAGAGCTTTGTCGCGCACGCGCATGAACTTGAATCATCATTCCTGCAGCTGGGTGACCTGTGCATGCAGGCATGTTCCAACAGATCATGCATATGCAAAACAACATCAACCATGATGTGATCACTGCCCACTTCTTATTGTATGCGCCAGGTGGAGAAGGGGGGTGACTTTCTTGTGCAGTTGAATGCTGCTGTGACGCTTGCGATGCAGCGTCTGCAGCTCTACCAAGAAGATGCCAAAGAAGCCACTACGTTGACTAAGCCAAGGAATGCTGGCAAGGTGGGTTGACCCGGTCCAAGCAGTGCAACCCAATATCCTTTATGTGTGTTGAGTGCGCGGTCTTCAGTCCATCCCTCCCTGTTTGGGCACCCGTGCAGCACATGCATTCGCAGGCGAAGGCAGCCGCCAAGAGCAAATCTACCTGATCCAGAGCACTGATGCTACACTTGCTTTTTTCCTGTGCTACCCTAGCATAGTTGATGCTAAATTGAGTTTTGTCTGTGCTTTTAAGCGCAGTTGATGCTAATTCGGGTTTGCCTGTGCTTTTTTGAGAGCTACATAGGCATCCATTTGTGAGCTAGTTGACAGCGCTGCAGGATACTGCAAGCTACATGTGCCGCATGCATGAACCACTGAGGGACTACCAAAGAAGACAAACTGGAAAATGTGCCATGTGCCAAGATAGGGGCACCGTGTATGACTCTGTGACCCGTGTTTGACCTCAAGTTGGGGATAGTTATCCCCCATTTTGGTGATATAGGTATTTGTATCTGATTTGTTGACAGTTATCACCTATTTTGGGGATAGTTTTCGGTGATGATTTGGGGATACTTATCACGTATCACCAATTTGGTGATAGTTATGTACCTGGTCGGCCTCCATATACCCTAAAGAAACCATGTTAGAGTGACATACTAAACCCCAACTGCTCCAGGAGTTGCCCGTCTACGGCAGCAAGCTTTGAATGATCTGGCCAATGATGAGGCCTGTGGTTGATTCAAAAATGTCTTCAAACCTCACATGGTCAACCATGAACCCGGTTCACAACCTGCCTCTGCCTCCCAAGATCTCCCAAGCATTGGCCCGCAGGAACCATCAACGAAGCGACCTCGGACAACGCTTCCACATGAAACCGGACCCATCTTGGATGCAAAAGCTAATTTCGCAGCGCATGCCAAACCTAGAAAAGCTCAAGACTTTGGGAATCTACTGATTGGAAGCTTTGCGTCAGGCAAAGCAAGTGCCGTCAAGGTTCCATGAATGGAGTAACGCAACTATTTTGTTGTTTTGGTTTTGTATTGCATGGTAACTTCAAGACAACATGTTCGGGTGTATTGCCCCTTGGTCCTGCAAGGTTCAACGTGATGCTACTTCAGCAGTGGAGTGGTGTAGATCGAAGGGTGGGGTCGTGGAGGAGAAAGATGTTGTGCACCGCCTATCACAGTTAGGCACTGCAGGTGTGTATCCCAACAATACAGAGCGGGACTTTCATACGATGCTCAGTACTATGTCCCGTAGATTCGGGGTTCCTATTGAAACTGTCAAGGCCCGAATGTATGACCACAAAGAAGCAAGAGTCACCTGGCAGCACATCCATGTGATCCAGCCTGATTCTATGGCTGCAGCTCTTTTCAACAAGGGCGACCGTATCTGGAGAAAAGCTATGTTTGGTCAGCACACCGAAGAACAAGTTGCTAAGTTCTGGAAACATTGCCAGCAGAACTGTGAGTGGTTCAAGACCAACAGCTGTTGCACGTACCCTGCTCTTTCAAGACTGGTGCCTATGTCGTTTTATGGAGATGATATTGCTGCTTGGAAGGGATCAGAATGCGGGGCCATCACAATCCTTGGGTGGTCCTCTGATCTTGCGTACGGAAATGATTCATGGACCCGCTATTGGCCCATAGCCATCTACACTGAATATTCATCGACACCTTGGACGTATGATGACATTATGTCCTCGGTCATTCCGCGTGTCAAAGCTATGGTTGACCCTGGTGCTCTGCTCTTTGATTGGTCTGACAGCGGTTATGCCTTTTGTTTTTCCAGCTTGCAGGGGGACCTGAAATGGGTGAAGTCCCAATACCATTTGTTCAACTACCAGACCAACAATATTTGCAGCAACTGCGGAGTTCAAAAGACACACCCCAATGTGGCCATGACACTTGCCAACTTTGAAGAGGATGCTCCCTATTGTTCTGTGCCACCGAGCTTAAGTGAGTTCCATGCAAACCGAACCACAGCTTATTAGCTTATACTTGTGCAGGTTTTGTTTTTTGTGACCCGGCCAAATGAAAACAATGTATGTTGGGCCTTTGCGTTTTGTCAAGTTAGGATCCATCGTTTTCGACTTGGATATTCCAATCTCACGAGTGCTTCATGACACTATGCACGGACAGCTCCTTGGAACAGGGAAAGCGGTCAATGGGTCCGCTATTGTCTATCTTGCTGAGGCGGGCTTTTGGGGCCCTTTGGACAAGGGAATCTACGAACATGTGCTGGCAGAAAGACTTCGGGAAGCTCACAAACAGTTTTTGACATGGATGAGAGAGCATCGCATACGTGTTTCACAGCCGAGATTTACTCCGGCAAGGTTGAACAGAAAACTTCGATCTTCATATCCGTCGCTAAGCTCAAAAGCTATTCCATCAAAAACAGTGAGTTTTTGGATCGCAGAATGTGCGGTGGCCTACGCTGGGAGGGCTGACGCATCAACGGTTGACAGACTGGTGGCCACTTGCTTGCACAGCTACACCACCGCGTTGCGAATCATGGACACTGCTGACATGGTCATGTCGGAGACAGAAGCAAACAGCTATTGCAACAATTGTTTGACTCACCTGCAAACATATGCTGCGTTGCATACCTTTAGCAGGGATGCCCAGAAGAAGGAGAACAACAGAACACTTTGGCTTCTTACCCCCAAACATCATTACTTTTATGAGCATGCAAAAGTCACTCGCAGGGAGAGGGTAAACCCCAGGATGTCACAACTGCTTTGTGCGGAAGATTGGGTGGGGAGAGTTGGCCGCATAGCAAGAGCTACACATCGACAGAATGTCTCTTTGCGGACGCTGGAACGATACATTGCTCTTCTACACATAGAGTTGTCTCGATCATGACACCTGAGCACCCCGGCATGTGGTGGCAAAGGTCACCGCCGGCGCGTAAAAAAGAACAGGTGGCTGCGAGCTGAGGCATGGTCTGGTGTGTGGGGCATTGTCACCAACTATACCTCAAAATCATGGGCCCTCAAATGGGAATGGATCTGAGGGTCCCAACATCAAGATTAGATATGCCATAAAATCAGTGGTTCATTCAATCCACTCACCGAGGGACCAGCTGGTTCTGAGGTACCAGAACCCACTCTGATCCTTTGGGATGCACATATTATTTCATATTATATCTCTTACCTGTAATACACCTTCCAATTGATGTAGCTATAATATTTGTACCTCAGGAATCCATTTATTTGTTTTTATTTTCATATTCATTAATAACCTAGAAATATAAAAGAAACGGCATGAGAAAGACAGATATAGTATTTAGTGGTCCACTTATATAATATTGTCTTTTTGAGAACTAAGATAAAATTATGACAGCGGACCAAGATATCATTAAGACACTCCTCAACAACCAATTAATATGATGAAATCCTTCACACACAATATGTCCAGTTTCTACGTCATATTTACTTTGGAAGTACCCACCCTTACATAGTTCAATAGACTGCTTGCAAATCCCAGACTGTCACCAGACTCTCGTTTTCAAGAACTGTTTGATCTCGGGAGTTACCCGAGTCGGCCCGAGTCGGGGTGTCTCTTGGAAGGGGTGGAAGGGGTGCCTGTCTGGTCGTGCCTGCTGGTCCACGAACACCTCGTCAGGAAACCGTGTCGAACCCTCGCGAGCGCCACCTACGTCAGCTTGCGCGTGACCACAAGTGCCTTGAACGATGAAGGAAGACCAGAATAGTTCGTTGTGTGATCTGTAGCAGCTGCATGCCGTTTGGCCAAACTAAGCAACTTTCACAGTCTTCCGAAGTTCCCCATTCTTCATGAATTGCCATGATGAGGCCCCCCTCAGAGGCGTCGATTTGCTCGCGTTTTGGGGCCCCTCTGACACCGCCCCAAAGCCGAAGCCGTTCGCCGAAGCCGCCCAGGATCGATCTGGTCCAGGCTCCGCGAGCTGGCTGGGACGGAAGAGATGGTGAGTCCTACGGACGAGTCGCCGGGAGGTGAACCCTAATCCTCTGATGCACCGTTCCAGGTGCCCTATGTGCCCTAATCCTCGGGGTTTACCATGATGAAATCATGAATGTAAACCATCTGTGCCGGGGTCATGACGACCTCACAGGCCCGGGCGTGGGGCGACCGACACGGATGGTCCTCCGACCTGGGAGCCGAGTGTGGCGAGGTCGAGTCACTCCTGAAGGCCTTCAATGCCTTTGATACGCTGGGGAGCCCCGAAGCCGCGAACTGGGAGTGAGATGGTGTAGCCGTGAGGTGAAACGAGCAAAGTGCAGAGTGAACCTCACAAGGGTACATGTTCCAAGGCAACCCCGAGAGTCATAACTCATTTTACCTCGTAGTGGTGGCAATAAAGAGCGGCAGACATGGCAAGCTGGCGCGAACGCTCAAGGTTGGAGGCTGCTTGGCTCTTCGCCAATTCTGGTCGAACAACGGCCTACCAGTCCACTTCCTTGAAGTGGCTGAACTCACAAAGAACCTGCCCAGACGCTCCGTTCACAGCCCGACTGGGTCCCTCAAAACCGGGATTGGTTCGGGTCCGACCCCTCCAGAGGATTCGGGTCCGAGCCCTGCATAGGGTCGGGTCCAGGAGCGTCTGGGTGGTGAACAAAGACGAGACGTGGCGTGGACCAGGCAGATCTTTCGGGCCAGACTGCAGCAGATTTCGCTGGTGACGAGGACTCCGCCCGCCCTTCACAGGTCCAGCCACAAGAGATCGAACTTTCGGACGTGTCTCAAGGTGACTCCCAAAAGGGGTTTCAGAGTTTGGACCCGGAAGACGGGACACCAAAGCAACAAGGGTTTTGATTTTGGACCGAAGCGACCGTCGGGCCCATGAGCCCCAAAATCCGGGCGCCGGCCACGCAGCCCGTGGTCACCGAAGGTTGGGCTACGCCCCCCCGCCGACCAAGCTCCGCCCAGCAACGTAGGCCAACATACGGACAGGATGACATAACATGGGCCAACATGTGGCAACATGGATATGGTTGATGTGAGGTCATTTTCGAAGGCACGTGGTGCGAGATATGCTGCCCGAGTACCAGTGCATTTTTAGCATTTTGTTATTTTTGCTGGCTCTCTGGCTCTTTTTCTTCTACCGGAGGAGAAAGAGCACGGACTGGACATGTCCGAAAACCATGTGTTTTACAGAGTTTTCGGGGTTGCGGAGAGAAGCGTCTGGATTGAACCTGGGCGAAAACCATGTGTTTTACACTGTCTGCGGGGTTGCGAGGAGACGCGTCTGGATTGCCATGTGTTTTACGGTGTTTTCGGGGTTGCGGAGAGAAGCGTCTGGGCTGGACATGTCGGAGAGAGAGTCAACCTCTACAGTCCGCCTCCTCCTCGCGGCGGATGCTGCCGCCGTCTCCCACCCGTTTCCTCCCCATCCCTTCCTTCTCTCTCCTCCCTGCCCCGGCCGGCGCCCGGCTGTCAGGCGTAAGCCTTTAAATCTCGGGTTGTTGATGAATCACACCCCTTAATGGAGACATAGAACATTGTTTGGAAACCTCCTGGAGACGGTGTTCCGGCATGTTTTCAAGTATTTTTTTGGTCGAGCCGTCCACATGAAAATGGCGGTCCTCGATTCGGCAGGCATCCGAAAACGTCATTCCGAGTCTTTGTCCGTGAAGCCGAGGGATGGCAGTGGCTACATCGAGTGGGAAGAGTTTCGGCAGGCTGCTGTACAGACGGACGGACGCTGCACGGGACGTGTCGGGCGGGTGACCTGGAAGTGATTGGAATGTTTTTTGTTCTTAAAGGATCTCTGTGATTTTCGTGCTTTTCTTCACAGTAGCACTCCTTGGGCCTGGTGAATGTGGCAGACAGATTAAGTGCTTCCTATTCCGTCCAGTTCGAGGATCCTTTGCACCACTTTTCGGGTTTTCAGGATCTTCCTTTTCGGGTGGCTTCAAGACCACGAACTGAAGCCTCGTCTCGGAGGAACGCCGTTCACAACCGCTAGCCGGGGGCCTTTTCGCCCCTTTCCGACCGAAGGGCCGCCCCGGCGGCACGTGGCGACGCGGAGCCGGTGACGACGACCATTCGCCAGGTGGTTTGCACGATGCTGAAGGTGCACCGACCAAGTCATGCAGGGGGTCGTTTTGGCTCGAAAAGCCGTGCCCAAGAAGGGAAAACAGGCAGCGGAAGGTGGGAAGACAAAGAGGAAACAACGGGGGATAAGGAGTGCCTGCGCTTCCTAGCATGATAGCCCCCATTGTTTCTATAGAAGAGGATAAGGACTACCCTCCTACCTATGCTGAGAGCTCTCCATACGTGAAACATCTCAGTTTAATTCAGTTTACATGTGCACGGTGATCATGGTGTGAAACAAACTGCCTTGTGCCCTGGCCATCCACACCTGTTGACTTTCCATGACCGTACCGGCCCAAACTTAGTGGCCACTTGAGTCTGCCTTGGAAAAGGCTTTCCTTGCCGTGCGCCATAGGCACTGCGTTTCCGCTGTTCATCAGTGGTAGCGGAGCCCGGGTGACGACCTGGGCTCTGCTGGAGAGGTGGAAGAGCTTGCGGCGGGGGACGCCCCGACCGACCTCTTTCGACTTCATCGACCTCATTCTTGAGGAGTTCTTCGGCACCCTCCAGCAGGGGATTGTTAGAAGCCACTGACGTGGCGGAGCTTGACGGCCATCCTGGCCTGGTTTTCCTTTGAGCTTGATTTGAGCTTTTGTTTTGCTTTTGGTCTACGACCACCTTCACTACGCTAGCCCTACGACTTTGCTAGCCGGCGCCGGGACTTCGTTCGAACTATTTGATTGAGGGCCCAGGCGATATCTTTGCCATCAGCCTGACCTTTGTGAAGTACCAGTTCACTGGGAAGTATGTCAGCTGACAGGCTGCACCGCTTCTGGAGAGGCGGAGTTGGAGCAACTTCATCATCGACCCCATCGATGGCGGCCCCGCCGAAATCCCCGATGGCAAGTCCGCCGCGACCACCGAGGTCCCCTATGGCGAGTCCGCCACGACCTGAAGTCCATCGACTTTCTCAGGTACCTGGCCCCGTCGATTCGGGACTTTATGAAGAACCTGATCCTTGGGCTGCAGCTGCAACGGCCATCCGGCCTCCGACACCGGCCGGAAGCCAATCAGGTGCTCGCGAGAAAAAGTATGTGGACTACAAAGTGGACCCCGCTCCAGCCTGGGGCGGTGACATGCCAGAGAAGAACTATAAAGAGTACATCCGGAACCTTCAACTCTGGCTGGTTGAGGCAGAGGCTCGACTGCCTCACAACTTGATTGGAAAGCGGATCATCGACAGCATTCCGCTTGGCTCGAAGCTCAGCTCCCTTCTGGCCCATTTGACTGTCGACGACATCTGCTCGGACAATGGCCATAAGGTCATACTTGGCATCATCGAGGACGCCCATGAGTATTTGAAGGACTTGCGCCTCGAGACAGCCTTCGATGACGCGATCTTCAAAGGAAGACGTGAGCGAGGCCAAACGCTCACAAGCTTCTTGACCACCAAGAAGGCGGCCTTCGCTGACTTGAAGAAACAAGGACTGGACCTGTTGGCTACCAGTCCGGGGCGGCATTTGTTGGGTCACCTCATTTTGAGGCAAGGCTCATTCACCCAGGACCAACGCCAGAGGTTGAAAGTAGTCACCAACGGCAGCATCGATTACAAGGACATTGAAATGGCCATCCAGAAGGTCTTTGGTGACAAGCTGGACGAAAGCCATGGACATCATGAAGCTGTTGGTACCCCCCGGAGGTGGCGCAGTGCTACCTACTGGGATGAAGAAATGAATGAAGAGATGTTTGATGATGAGCCAACTGCCACCTATGGCGAGATTGAGGATGACGACCCTTTCGAGGACCTCATCGCGCTCAATGATGATGGCAGTGAGGCTCAGTTCATCTTCCTCCATGAGATGCCAGTGATCATGGATGAGGCTGAAGCCATTGAAATGGTCAGTGACAACCTGGAAGAGATCTTCTACGAGACCCACCAGCGCCTGCATAGCAAGGGCAAAGGAAAAGGAAAGAAGGGGAAAGGAAAAGGCAAAGGTGGCAGTTCAAGAACCTATGGCCTTGGAGCTCCTGGTTTTGGACGAGGCGGTGGTTATTTGGAGCACCGTCGAATGCTACAGGCTGCCCGGACGGGCAGAGGCTTTGATCGACCTTGGCAGATGCGTCAAGGCACTTCGAAGATGTCCCTCAATGACATCAAGGCCAAATCTCGCTGCCATCAATGCAAGCAGATCGGACACTGGTCTCGAGAGTGTCCGCAAAGGAACAAGCAAGCATCGACGGCCCCTTCATCCGGCAGTTCACATGTGAGTGGAGGCTCAACCATGTCCACTGGGTTTTTCACGTCACCACCAGCGGTGATGGCCAACTGTGGACATAAGTTTCTGACGACCAACCTGGACCCGATCTCGTGCGAATACATGTTCAGCGGCCTGTCGTTCGTTTTTCTTGGTTCGGCACCGGATCGGGGCATGGCACTCGTCGACACCGCGGCTCAGCACCGGTTGGTTGGTCATGACACCCTCCAAAGACACGATCGTCATTTGCGGGAACATTTTGGTCTCCAGGTACAATGGTCCAATGAGCATGGTGGTTCAGTTCGAGGAGTATGCGGACAGGAGGAATCAACACGGATAGCCTACATCCCCATCGGCTTGTCCGGAAAGAGTGGAGTACTACGTGTACAAGTGGTCCCAGGTGAAATACCATTCCTCCTGCCAGCATACTTCCTGACAGATCTCAAAGCTGTGATTGATATGCACCACCTGACCATCATCTACATGTCATTGGCAGTTCAGCAACGTATGTACCGCATGTCAACTGGTCATGTTGCTGTTTGCATTACTGAGTTTGGTCACGGCTTTCAAGTTCCATCCGACTTCGCTGGCACGAAGAGTCAAGCCTGGTCTCTGGAGCCCTTACCAGACCAGGCACGACCCTCAACCTCGACCACCTCGCATGGCGGCATGGCTGGCTCACTGGCGGCGCTTGCTGCTGCGCTTGCTGGAGTATGTGGACTTGCTGGCGCGCCAATGCCTGATGGAGGTGGTTCGAACGCCCCAACTACGTGGAGTCCGTCGCCTTCAACGACAGCGCGAGGACTTGGAGAAGAAGGCTTTGGCCTTGGCTCAGGCCGAACAGAAGATGTTGGCAGAAGCTGCATCTGCCAGCACTGTCCAGCCTGGAACCACCCTGACCTTGTCCAGGCGGGAGGATCGTGTCCGACCCCTATCGTGCATCATGGGGAAAGGCAAATATTTGGTGCCATGCTTGGAAGACAGCACTCACTGCCGGCATTTGAAGACTCAGCATGGCGCCAACAAGAACATGAGCTACCAGAAGTGTCTCAACTGCGGCCAAGAGCAGCAGATGCCCTTGACACCGGTCAACCAGATGGAGACCTGGAACAACACCCTCGTGTATGCCAGCCACGACTTCTACCAGAAGAAGAAGGTCAAGGAGGAGAAGGCCGAGTCCGTCAAGGCAGAGTCCACTCGATCTTCAACTCAGGGCTACCGGAAGCCCGCAGCCAAGTCGAGCGCAAAGGCAACGGCTGCCAAGACAATGCCACAGAAGAAAAGCCCCATTCCGGAGTTCTCTTCCGATCCGGAGGAACTGGAGGAGGATCTGCCGATGGACGACGAGTGGGAGGAGATCAACCCCATTGGACCTCAGGACATTGCGATGTCTTCGATGGAGAACGATGTCCTGGCTCAGCATTGCGGAATCTGCAACAATGGGAGCCTCCTACTTCATCGACACCAGACGACTGGGCAACTACTGTGGAGATGCATGAACCCCACCTGCCGACGGGCTTGGAATCATCTTCGAGGACACACCAAACCGGCAGTGGGGACATTCCTTTGCCCACAGTGCAACTCAGGCGAGATGATGACTGCACCAGCGATGGATGGCGATGCTCAGCACACGGAGCTGATCTGCTTGAACACCAATTGCAGTCTGGCCATCTACCTCTACCAGCTCCCCGACTACTACCTCCGGATGGGCCAGTTCGAGATCGAGAACATCAACAAGTGAGTTGCTGGTGGCTCCAATCACCACCGGACAAGATCGAGATTGACGAGACCTACGGCGGCCTCCTGGACACTTTGAACCTCAACCCAAGCACGACCTTCGTAGCCATTGGATATGGTGATGTTGTCAGAGGGAAGTCTCCAGTCGTCACCAACACCTTTGTTAGCCGGAGGGTCATCTTGACCCATGATGGCGATGATGGGCTTTGGTGCGCTGTTGACATGACCACGACACCCGGTCATGACTATGTGCTTGGTGCCCCCATGGACTATGTGGTCTTCTATGAGTTCGATCCTGAGTTCATCGATTACCTGGTGGAATCAGAGTATGAGAACGAGGTCACCCTTTCCAGATCCGACAAGATGAGCATCAATGGCAGCTTGGACATGCTGCTCGGTGACCTGACCACTTATTGGGCACTTTGGGAAGAGGAAGACGCACAAGATGATGTTGCCGAGGTCTTTGGCAGCATTTGGGAAACTCGAGACACCATTGTGGAGGTCTACAGCCCACCACGTGTGGTTCGACGTGCAGCAGCTCGAGGTCTTCGAGCGGAATTGTCAGTGGATCTCACCACTGGCGTGGACTTGTCAGATCGACAACAGAAAGCACAAGTCCGACAAGATCTACAGCAGAGAAAGCCTCGACTCTTGATCACTTCACCGCCGTGCACCAAGTTCTCTCCATTACAGAATCTGAGGTGGTACCCTGAACTACTTCAGCAAGAACTTGGACCCGCCATCGACCACATGGACTACTCCATGGACCTTCAAGAGGACCAGCTCCAAAGAGGCGGATATGGCTTGCACGAGCATCCGGACACATCAACGTCCTGGTCATTGCCACGAGTTCAACAGTTTCTGCAGCATGATGAAGTGATCCTGGTCAAGGCCCACCTCTGCCGATTTGGCCTTCGAGTGAGGCAGAAGTTGAACCGGAAGTCCACCTTGTTTGCAACCACCTGCGACTCCATCGCTGTGAACTTGCAAAAGCAATGCAAGTGTCTTGAAGGACATGAACCTCTCATTGGTGGTTTGCCTCAAGCTGCCCAGGAGTATCCTCCAAAGTTGGTTGACGCCATCATCGACGGCCTCATCCTGGACTGGGCTCAACGACAACGTGGACTACCAGATCACCTGCCGACCCGAGGCGATTTTGAGCAGTGGTGCGACTCCATGCACCACAAAGAAATGTTTCACTGGCACAAGTTTCATGACAGCGCAGTGCTGATTCTCCGGAAGCCGGACAGCATCCCACGTTCTGGACCGGCGCATCGCATTTTGCGATGGACTTGGGCGAAAGGAGTCCTGGATGGCCGATGGATTCAACTTGAACGAGGACAACAAGGAGCGACACCGCGCTTCGAGGTCAAGTACCCCTTCGTGGTGGTACTCTACTATTTCCCGGCCATCAACCAGGTCCTTGCCACAGAAGAGGGAAAGAATGCCTCTATCTCCACTCAGGAGAAGTCTATGGTGCTAAGAGCACATGTCAACCTGGGACATCCACAGATGAAAGAATTTGTTCGTCTCCTTCGTGCTGCAGGCGCACGACCCGACATCATCGACTATGTCATGAAGGAGTTTGTCTGTGAAGGTTGTCTCAAGGAAAGACGACAGCCATCTCGACTTCCTGCAGCAACACCCAGGACTTACGACTTCAACGTCGTCATTGGCGTCGATTTGCTCTTTGTCATGGGCTGCAAGCCGACGGATGAGCACCCAATCCTCAATGTCACTTGCCTTGGAACCTTGTACTCCACCTTCACCATGGTGGATGCCACGAGGAGATCTTCGGCCATGGTCTGGTCCTCTTTCCTGAGATCATGGGTGAGAACTTTTGGAGCACCCAGCTTTCTCCTGTATGACCAAGGCCTGGAGTTCCAAGGTGCTTTTGTTGAAGGCTTGGAGGAGTTGGGGATCCAGCCCATTGTCATCGACCGTGACTCTCCATACCAGAATGGAACAGTTGAGCGCCGTGGTGGACTGTTCAAGGAGGTCTACTACAAGACTCGTGAACTTCGACAACCAGCTGATCTTCAAGAAGTACAAGACATGGTTCACGAAGTGGCATGGGCGCTCCAAACCATGACGAACAGGAGCGGTTTCTCTCCCGCTCAACGAGTCTTTGGTCGACAGCCCAGCATTGCTATGGAGTTGCTGAATGATGCTGGCACCTTTGAGCAGACGCAGTCACCAACAGCTGATGCAGCTTGGCTTCGAGCTGATGAGATCCGACAAGCTGCCAGGAAAGCTTTGATGGAAGTTGATGGGCGAGAACGCCTCAACCGAGCTGTACGAGCCCGACCTCGACGACAGCGAGAAGAACATGAGTTCAAGGAGGGCGACCCTGTCTACGTTTGGAGACAAGGGAAACGTGGAGCTCAAGCCAAAGTGGGGCCGTGCTTCGTTGTCCTTCAGAAAGGAAGCACTGTGTGGGTGACTCGTCGTGGAGAACTATGGCGATGCAACAAGACCCAGGTGTTCAAGATGGGCAATTTGGAAGCTCAAGGACTGGAGGTCATTCCAGCCGAGTTGCTGAGAGCCAAAGAACGTCTTCGCTTCCACCCTGAGAAGCTGGGATTCATCGATGTGGAGCAAGAGGGCGACCCACCAGACACAGCATTCCGAGATGAACAACCGGCTCCAACCGCTGGAAACATTCAGCGGAAGGCACCAGGAACACCAAGGGCACCAGCTACACCACGAGCACCACAAACACCGGTCTTGCAAGGACCCCCTGAAGGATTGAAGCAAGTTCAATCCCCACAGACAAGGAGTGCTCCATCCACTCCGGCCATCATGCGAGAGGCTCCAAAGACGCCACCACCAGCTCGTGCACAAACACCAGATACTACACCAGCGAAGGGATCCACAGCAACATTGGCAAGATCCCGATCGCCAGCACCGAGACCACAGCCACCACCAAAGACTGTGACCATCTCGGCCGATGATGAACCTCATCTAGCACAAGAGCCACCTCATGCATCACAAGAGTCAAGCACACAACAAGCAACACCTGCCGCAGCAGCACCAGCAGCAGCAGTTGTGCCGCAGGGCATGAGAGAAGGCGATGAATTGTGGAAGGCAACAGTGGAGAATCAACTCTCCCGGAGCTCAGCGTCCACTGGACCAACTGCACCTCCCACACATGAGCAGTTGAAAGCCTGGACCCGCTACGACTTTGAGGCCAAGCGATACCGTGGCTCCAACTCACGCGGTCCTTTGTGGAGTGACGTGGTCCGCCGACTCACGCTGGACTTGGACGCCAACAAGATCATTCAGGATCTGACAATCACGGAGAACCTCTCGGTCCATAAGCTCCATGAGAAGCTCCCCACTGGAGTCAAGAACATTGAGACCACTCTCATCTACCGGCCACGACCGGGAAATCCAGATCCAGGCAAGCCTTATGAAGCACTTCTTCCTCAACCGGCTGAACAACCAGCCAAGAAAGCACGAGTCCAAGAGCCACAAGAAGATGCCCGACTCACCGACGTCAGACTGGCCTGGAGCTCACGTCCTACACCTTCAGATGGACGAACTGCCAACAGGAGCAAGACCTTTGGCATCTGGCGGGCTGATGATGTCACTGAGTGGGGTGATAAGAGAAGATTTCCAGTGATTGCCAACAACCGCGACATCAAACTCTTCTGCAAGTTGGAACACAAGGAAATGCACTATGCCCTCAAAGAGCCGGAGTCCTCGTTGGCGTACCTCACCAAACAAAGTGGCAAAGAACTTGATGAGAAGAAGCTCACAGCCCAGGAAAAGGCCATGTTTGACAAAGCCAAGGTCCTTGAGATCACCAACCTGGTCAACTCCAATGCCATCCAGGTCATCACTGACCCTGATGAGCTCTCTCGCATTCGACGAGAGCTGCCACATCGCATCATGCCCAGCCGCTTCATCATCACAAAGAAGGCTGGTGAACTGGGCGAGGACTGGAAGGCTAAGGCCAGATGGATTCTCCTTGGACACAAGGACCCAGACGCCATGACCCAGGAGAGATTTGCACCTACTCCATCTTCCACCACTGTCATGCTTTGCCTCCAAGTCATCAGCAGCATGAACTATGAGCTGTACATCATGGATGTCTCCAGCGCCTTTGGCCAGAGTGACCCGCATGAACGTGCTGAAGGTCCACTCTATGCATCCATGCCACCAACAGGCATTCCACAGCACAAGAGCACAGACTTGATCAGAGTGCTCACAGCCGTGTATGGTTTGGTGAACGCCCCTGCAGTTTGGCGAAAGACGGTTCGCAGGCACCTGACCGAGCTCAACTACAAGGAAAGTGTCTTCGACCCTTGCCTGTACTACCTGCCACCCACAGAGGAGGAGCTCAGCAGTGGACCACCACTCCAGGTGGCAGGAGTTGTGCTTTTGGATGTTGATGATTTCTGCCAAGGCGGCAACCAGAGGCATCAAGAGCTGATGAACCAGTTGCGCTCCAAACTCAAGTTCGGAAAGTGGCGCAACGTCTACAAGAGCTCAGCTGAGTACATTGGCCGCACGCTCACACAGCTCGAGAACTATGAAGTCCAAGTGAGCATGAAGCGGTACATTGAAGAGAAGCTGAAGCCAGTGACCCTTCCTCGAGAACGGCTTCGCGACAAAAGCTCAAAGTTGACGGAGCAGGAGATCACGTGGCTCCGTGGAGTTGGAGGATCCTTGCTTTGGATCGGGAAGGAGGCGAGGCCAGATGTTGGTGCAGCATGCGCTATGGCCATGAGCTGGAGTTCTGATGGCCCGACGGTTGAGCACATCCTCATGGCGAACAAGACCGTCAATGAACTGAAGCAGACGCCTGACGAGGTCCTGCGCATCCTCCCCATCGAGGCCAACAACGGCATTTGGATGACGGTGGCCGATGCTTCAATGGCCAATGTGGAGAATAAGTCGCAGGGAGGCTTCATCGTGGCATTTGCCCATGGCTCCATCCTGGACGGGCAGAAGGCAAGCTTCAGCATAAACAGCTGGAAGTCACACCGGCTGAAGAGGGTCATCAAGGCCACGCTCGGCAGTGAGGCTTTGGCTATGGACGATGCTTTGGCGGAGGTGGAATGGGTGAGAGCTTTATGGCATGAAGTGTTGGACCCAGCCACATGTGTCATGGACGGCACCAGGCTTGGTTCGGAGCCGTCGGCGATGGTGGTGCGGCTCCCTGAGGAAGAGGCTGAGGATGTCAAGAGCATCCGGATCTGCGACAAGCAGAGTGGCATCCATGTCACGGACGCCAAGGCCCTCTACGACTTGTTGAGCAGGAGGTCCGGGAACGCCGGACATGACAGAAGGGCGCAAATCGACGTGGCGGTGATCCATGTGAGCGCTCGGGCCTTAGGTGTCACCACCTTTTGGGTGCCAGGCAATCTGATGATTGCAGACCCTCTCACAAAGAGATTGGGCAACAGCACCTTGCTTCGCAAGACCATGAGCGAAGCGGCTTTTGCACTTTGTCGTGCTGCCAGTGAAGGGTGAGGATGGCCATGATATCCCCCCTAAAGGATGTGAAACAAACTGCCTTGTGCCCTGGCCATCCACACCTGTTGACTTTCCATGACCGTACCGGCCCAAACTTAGTGGCCACTTGAGTCTGCCTTGGAAAAGGCTTTCCTTGCCGTGCGCCATAGGCACTGCGTTTCCGCTGTTCATCACATGGTGATGCCATTGGACTTGGACCTTTCAAGGGGCTTTTGGCATTATTTTGAAGAAAGTCTGGCAGTTTCATCACAGTTGGATGGTTTTTGAGACTCATCCCTGGTGAGTGGAACCGATGCATCGCTAGCTGCTAGCGATTGCTAGCTATCAATCCCGAGCCGAACAAAGTGCGTTCGAGGGGTTGGTTGATGAATAGAGATGCCCCGGTTGGTTGATGAACTACCAAGTTCGGTCTGCGTGCTTTTTCAAAAAAAAGGCTCCATAAGGGCATCAATCGTTCTGCCGCCTTCCCCAACATCTCCCCGACCAACAAAACAGCTCCTGAGATTGAGAGACCTGAACTGGGACCCTATATGAGCAACCAATTTAGGCTTTACTTTACTAAAGTAGTCTACGGCATGCTCTATTTGCTTGTCTACCATCAGTATTCACTTGCGAACGAGATAGGGCCCCCACATAAACGAGATGCTTTTGCTTGATGACACTAAAGTAGTCTGAACGAGATAGTGTGACCTGCTACTAAAATAGCCTGAACGAGATACTGTGACATGACCTCCTACGTATATAAGTAGTCGAAACGCAATAGGGCCCCCACATAATATAGATAGTTTGTTTGAGTTTAGTACCAAATAAATCCCGCCGCATATACGCAGTAACATATGGCTGTGGATTGACCTCCCGGAGCGCCCAACCTTGGGTGGATTGACCTCCCAGGCAATCCCATTCTACTCATTTTGATGGGTCAACCAAGGTTTCCCGGTTCTGACCCCATAGGCGGAAGCTTGTTTCCGATCTGGATCGCCGGATCGGGATCGCCAGGTCAAGGAGCCGACGGATATCTCGGAAGCCCGCTTGGCGCGCTATTGGAATGAGGCAGCCGCTTGGCGGATGTCCCGCCCCGAGGTCGGTGGTTTTGGCCCGGGTCGTGAGGATGGAGAGGACCCGAAAGTCCAGGGTCGAGTGAAGAGGTGATGGAGCCGCCTCGTACAGAGGTGAATGAAGGGGTGTCCAAGAGCCCGTGAACGGAAGGGCCGAGGGAAGAGGTGTGTGAGGATGGACCCTACTCTTGGAAGATGAGTTGACATCAGCCAAAACCGCTCGAATACTTCCAAACCTGGAGGAAAGACCCGAATCTTGGGGTCTTGACACCCGGGAAGAGGCCCACATGGAACCTGAAAATGGACCTTTGGAAGAGTATTTTCCTCTACAAACCCGTGGTTTTTCAGGTTCGATGCGGACCTCGGAACCAGTGCGTGTAAAAGTATAGACGGTGGATGATCACTTCTTTCCGGTATTGACCCAATACGCCTCCAGCTGGACTCAGCGGTGAAGTTGGGATCGAAATCGGTGGTTTTGAGACGACGAAGACGAAATGGGAGGACTGACTGACTGACTGACACAACGGCCGAAATTGGAGATTCAACTAATAGTTGGACTATCCACGTTTGATGTTTGTTTTTGGGGGGACACCACATGTCTGAAGGGTTCAGGAGATTCCTGAACTCCGGACATTCCGAGTCCATTTTTAAACCTTGGGCAGGGGTGGGACCCCTCATAGCTGGGGTCCGGACCCTCAAAACATCTCAAAACCCTACGAGAATGTGGTTGAGGGCCCGGATTCTTTGGGTCGTTCAAAACTGGGGACACTCCCGGGTTCCGAATTCCCCTTCGCGGGTTCCTGCATGTTCAAAGTGGGTGGAAAAACGAGGAAGACGAGAAATCCCACAATTGGTTGCGTACCAGGACCATCCCGGCTGGACTACCCCACACTACCGACAGGATGGCTTCCAGACAGGGCACCCCGACTGGATGGTCCAGGGATGTTGCCCGAATCTGTAAGTTTCGTTTCTTTTTTTTGGCGTCCAAAACATCCTCCCGGGCCCTCCCCCAAAAAAGCGACAGGCCTCACTCAGGCCTGCCTGAGGCCTGAGGCATGGCATTTTGATCAATCAGTGGTTTTGGCAGACGCTCATATGAGATCACTTTTCAACACACCAGACCGGTAATGTTGCATCACATCATTCTATATCAGTGCATACTGACCACGTGCACCGTCTGTGCGTGTTCCAAATGAACAAGCTACACCAACATCCAGCAACTGGTTTCTACTACGGTAACATTTGTATGGCTAGGGTATGCCAGGTAGATCGGCTCTATCATTTCAGTCTCTATCCACATATCATATACCCCATGTCTATGGGTCTATACGGGTATTTCCCACTTAGAGTCTGTCTTAAAGACGGCATCTGCGTTGAACCGGCCGTCGAACGGTGTTTTTTTGGATGAGGATCCTCACCACCTGGGCAAGCTGGGCTTTGAGCAGTTCATGGTGTGGTACGTCTCCTGTGGACCGGAGCCCCGGACGGCGCTCGCGCTTGCGCCGTGGCGCTTGCCACGATGATGCCGTGGCTGAACGGTTCACGACGGTGCTATGAGTTTATAACGTACCATGAGACCCGGCCTGGGAGTGTAATAGTCCAAATGCAGACCAAGACCTTATTGAAGTGGATCCTGCCTTTTGAGACATACCTTACAGTACTTGGTTTTGCGAACAACAACCAAACCAGCGAGACTCACTATGTATCGACTACAAATTTGGCCAGGTTGTTCATGGCTTGACTACACACGTCGGCCGTAGATTGTGGCCTGTATGGCCTGATCGCCAGACCAGGTTGCTGGGCAAATTGACTCTCTAATGACATGGTTCCTAGATTTTAGGGAAACTTAACTGATAGCAATGGCCTCCAACCTAATAGCGAGGGCCTCCAACCTAGAAGCAATGGCCTCCAATGGCCTCCAACCCAGAAGCAATGGCCTCCAACCTAAAAGCGTTGGCCTCCAACCTAGAAGCAATGGCCTCCAACCTAAGAGCGATGGCC